AAGACCTTCAGCTTATATGAATAGTGAAAAATATATACTTATCAGAAGATTAATTGGATTATATAAACTTGAATTTAATGTAAAAGTTATCTATCGGTGAATCTGTAGAGAATAACTGAGAATTAAACAATAGAGAGCAAGATAGTATAACAATTACTAAAGGACAAATACAACACATTTGTTTCATTTAATCCACTAAATAAAATTTTTAATTTATCTCATAAAATTCCTATTTATATCCTAGTATCATTATTAAGTTCTCAAAGGGAACTTATTAACTGTGTTTTTATAAGCTAAGAAATAACTTGACCATTCAGTTCATAGAATTGTATTTAAAATTCTGAAACATACTCTAATTTTGGAAAATAAATACAAATATCTTTATGAAACTATTGGGTGATGCTTAATAGATAAGGAAAAGAGAAATTTTGATTTATCAAATAAATCGAATATTTTAAGGTAAGTAATCGAAAAACCAAACAGGACAATCGATCTCTGAAAGACCTATCCTGCAAGCTATACGCTGGGCAAATAATATAGATTGAAAACCTAAAAAATTTTAGGGATGTAAGTATATCTTAAATTTAATTATTGTAAGAAAAGGACTAATAGTAATTACTTGGTATTCTATCAAAATTGTAAAACCAGAACACTAAAGACAAGAAAATAGCAGAACAATTATGAGATGTATCGTATTTATGACATCAAAAATGCTTCATAGAAGATAGTTGAAGAAGTTGGAGCATCGTTAATATCGTTAAGGGAGTCTTAGAAGTAAAAATATTTTAAGGAATTATTAGTTAGGGATTCAAAAAAAAAGGGAAATTCATAAGTCAGAAAGGCAGTTAGAACGAAGGTGATAATCATACAAAAACTGAATTTAATGCTTGAAAAAGAGAGGTTAGGACTAAAAGAATAATGATAGAATGTATAAATTTCTCCTCCATCAATCAAACCTATAGGTAATATAAAATCCCTCTAAGCTATTTAAAGTCTAGATCAAGAATGAGAGTTAATATAGAGTTTTATCATTTAAATTTGATAGAAGAGCATTTTAAACATGTATCTCTCAATTAATGAAAAAAAACTTAACCTGTAAAGGAAAAATGGAAAATGATAGAGTCTAAAGGAATATTATAAAATTGATTTTTCTAATAAAAAATAACTTAAATAATATTTCTATCCAGTATAAATTTGTTATTTTCTCAACCAATTTAAATTCTTTTGATTTTAATTTATCCTCTTATTATTTTAATTGATTATCCTTTGATCTTGGTTGTTCCTCTTATTATTTTAATTGACTATCCTTTGATCTTAGTTGTTCGACTTATTATTTTAATTGATTATCCTTTGATATTAGTTGTTCCTCTAATTATTTTATTTGATTATGTTTTGCATTTAATTTATTTTCTTACATTGTTATTCTATTATCATACTCTGTCTGAAGCTATTTATCTAAAATTTAATATAATTAATACTTTATTTTACTTATTTTTATATTTAAAGTTTTAAATTCTTTATTTCAGTCTGGATGATTGGATGTGTTGTTTGCATGCAATTTTCTATTGAAATTTTTTCTTAATCCTTTTTACTCTATAATGATCAAACTAAAAAATGTTAATTCTAACTCTTTTAAAAATTAACCATTTTCTTCATTCCATTGATTAAACCTTGCTTATAGTTGATCTGAAAATAATTCTTAGTTTTACGAATTACTGATGTCTTATGCAATATTAATTAAATCCTAAACACTAACCTCAAGTATTCGTGCATCTTTTGGAGATTTAAAAGATTCCTTAATCTATTTAATTTATTTATTGGTTTTAGTATTAATTTTCATCAATTTTGATTACAATAATTAAGTCATTTTTCGTTTGCATTCTTCCAGAAAATTAGTTAACTGTAAAGCTCTCTCCTGCATTTTTTCGACATAATCATTACAATTATTTTATTTTTAAGTTAGCCATAATATCCATTATTGCTCAGCATTTTCTAAAGTTTCATATTTAGCTGGAGAATTCTTTATACATTTTAAACAGGCAATTCTATCTGGCTTGGTTGGTTATTCTTGTAAGTCTAATAAAATTATTGGATCATTAGGATGCTCTTTACAATATTAAGGTAAATTTTCTATTTGAGGAAGATGTAATTATTAAAATTTTGAGGAATTATTCTCAATGATTTCAAATGAATAAGTTTTAAAACCATTTTAAATCTTAATTGTAATATTTTTAACTTTGTCGATAAATTAGGCTTTTGATATTATTATAATGTTTTTTAAAAGGTTTTCTAAAACTCTTTAATAATCTATTATTTGTTTTTTTATATCACCAAATTATTTTAATAACGAATCTATATCTTAGTTTTATAAACATTCTAGCAATTGAGTAAATTTTGATTATTATTCTGAGATCATTTAGATTTATTATTGAAATCATTCTGTATATTTATTGATTGAAGTTTAAACTTAGGTCTTCAAAGCAACAAAATTATTTTTAATACTTTCCAACAATTCAAGATTTTACTTATTCAAATTTTATTGTTCTTAAATATAATTTTTTTATCCTTAAATTAATTATTATTTATAATCCTCTACAATTATGAGGCTCGATTATTTTTCAGGAACATATTTTACACAAAGATTTCTAAATTCTGGATTGGGTTGTGAAGAATCAGTATGTATGGAGACTTCTTGATGGCGACTGCAAATATTTGGAAACATTATTATAAATAATGAAAATAATTATCAAAATCTTATTATTTATAATATAATTTCTCTTTTAATATTAGTACGCATATTCCTAAACTAATAACGAGGAGATGATTTCCCATACTTTTAGAATTAGATTCTATTGCTCTCTATCAATTAAAAAACTTCAATTATTTTATTAATAGAATTATTAAAATAATTTATATAAATATATATTTCTGTTTGTATAAAGAGTAATTACAAATTGTAGAGTGATCTAACAGAAGAAAAAAGGAAGAGGATAATTTAGACACCATAAATGTTAGATTATAAGAATACTCAATTAGTCAAATATACAAGTTGTAAGAAACTATTAAGAGGGAGAATTGATAAAATAGAGATGAAGATTATTAGATACTATTAAGAAGGTGTGAAGGAAAAATATATGAATTAGATAACAGATTTATCACATAGCTTATAAATGATATTTTATAAATGATATTGTTCAAAACAAGGGATGTTAATTTGATAAATCAAATGGTATGGTTAAGAATGAGTATCAATAGATAATTTATCAAATTTTGGAGTAAAAGAGAAGCAGGATTCATTAGAAATATTTACTCCTTAAGTAATATTTAAAAGATAATAAATTAAGATTATTTTAGAGATTACAATGATTAAAAATAGATAGCCAAATATTGAAGTAGACTTGCTGCATTTCCATTTCCATGGTTAACAACATTAAGAGAATTTGATTATACAGGAGAAATATCATATATAACAAATGAGAATTAATCTATTCAGCATTTTCTAATAATTATCAGAATCTATTAATTTTTTAAGGTTTAGTATGTGTGCATAAATTTTATCAATATAATAATGTTAATTTAATTTTAGTTATTCATCTTGACGGTATAAACATCAAATAACATATTTTATTATCAATACCAGTAATTCTACCAAGTGTAGCTCCTAATTAAGTCGAACTTCTATATATTGCATCAATTAATCGATAGTGTATTTTTGATAAGGATATTGATATTGATGATTACATGAATTAACATTGTTAAAAAAATATTTTCATTTTAAACCATAAATATAATAATTGCAAATGGTTTCTTTATTCTTCCTTTTGTTTTCTATAAATTTGCTATTTCTTTAATTCTTAGTAACAAGTGGACATTCTTCTTTCAGTAAATCTGAATATATAGTAGAAAGAATAATTGCTTTGACACTTCAAGAATTTCAAGCTATTCAAGATTTCTTTTATGTAATGGAGCTTTACTTTTTTTTCTGTTTTCTATTTAAGGAGTTTCAATAGATGTTTGCTGAATTTAATTAATCTAGAATTATGAGGATGATTTATTTATTTATTTGTTAATGAATATCTTTCATATAATTCAAAACCTTATATTAATTAAGAAGACCAATTTTAGAGGTTGTCTTCCAAGATGTTTTTATAAGAGAAATTCTACTTGAATTACGGCTCGAAATATCATAAAAATATATATAAATTATATAAATATCACAAAGAGGTTCTGCTTCATTCTCATTTGAATTAGACTTTAATTTTCTTTTACTAAGAAATTTTATTTAATATTTGCATTATCTGCTTATTTCTTGTCTTAGGTGTAGTACTCTAAATAAATTTTTTCAATATCTTATTGCTTTCCTCCTATATCAAATTTCTTAGCTTTTATATTTTTTGCAACACTTTGAATCTCCTTTTGCTACTTTATTGATTTACTCATTAGATTAAATAATTTTCTGTCTATTAGTGAACATTTACAATTAGACCCCTCTCCCCCCCCCTCTTTTAATTAGATCAAGTGTATTGAACTTCTGAAAGGATTGAAAGTTAAATGAATTATTAGCAAAGATTCATTAGTAAATGTAATAATTAGTTATTTATTAATCTGATTTAGAAAGGAAACTTTTAATATCTCATTTTATATCTTTCTAAGCCTCGTCTAAATTTTTATTTTTAAGACGAGTAGGTAATGAAGCAATTTTAGAATACAAAATAAATTCTAACTTTTAAACTTCTTTTCTTTTCAATGAAGAACACTTAATGCATCATCTATCCTATTGGGGATAAAATGGATATAAAAGGTAGAAAAAATAGAAGAAATAAAATAATGGGTTTTTTCAGAGAAAAAATTCAATAAAAATACTGCAAAAAACAAAATAATGAAATGAATTATATTTCGAACAAAATAAGAGAAATAATTAAAACTTATGGTGTGTTCTTGAAAAAAAGGGGCAAAAAGAAAACTTAAAAGGAATGAATTGATTTATTTATAATAATAATAATAATAATAATAATAATAATAATCACTTCTTTTCTTGTCTAAGCTTATCTGACAGCTTCCTTTCCTATTATTATTAGAGCGACTAATAACATAAATTTATTTTCAGGATGTTTATAGTAACTAAGTTGAGTAGCATGTAAATTAGAAGATATTTTGAATTAAAATCTAACTATTTGATCTTCTAGATTTTCTGTGCAGATCTTTGTAAAATTTTAATTCATTATTTTCTTAACTAAATTAATCATATTTTGATTAAATAATGTTTAAGTCATAGTTGTTGATGTCACAACCCAACTTTATTGAAATCATTCCTCTAATAATAAGGAAATTAAAGAATTATTTGAAGATTATAACTTTATCATATCATTTAGAATTTAGTCTCTATCTTTACAGCTGAGATCTTTCTGCTGAAGGAAATTAAATAACACATAAATATAAATAACGTCTAAATTGTACATTCTCATAAACCTCAGTAAATTAAGTACCTTTCAATGGAACAAGTCCAATTTCTCTTGACATAAATAAATATTATTCATATACAATATATAAATAAATGTTGAAGAATAGACAATTTAACACAAATGAATTACATGAAAACTTAAATATAATAAAAGAAATTTTATTTTGAAGCTTTAAAATATACTGTTCTCAATTTCTACATATTTTTATTATTAAGATGGAGCCAAATATAAACATTAATAGTTATTAAATTTTCAAAATTATAATTCATATTTAATCAACAACTAATATCATTTATAATTATTCTTTTTATTATAATTATTAATGATCAAAATATTCCGCTATTTAATCATTCTAAAGTCCCTACAATATCTTGTATTAACTTTATTATTCATATAATAATTAGGTATAAATTAATTGTTTAGAAAGGCTGCAAAGACTTGCTAATGGTAAATTATCTCAAATTAAATGTTAGCAATATATTTTGGTTATAATAATTATTGAAAATAATTAAATATAAGTTACTGTTTGATTTAAATTATGTTGATATTCAAAGCTTTATTTTTATTAATAGTAATAGTAAGTATAAAGAAAAAAAACTATAAGTAGTGTGACAATTGACTTTAATAAATTTCTTAATTTCAAAAGAAATAATCTATCAACATTAACAAAATATATTCTATCCATTTTTTTTATTAAATTTATGATCTTATTATAAAATATGAATAAAGTTATTCCTGAAAGTTATTTAAATAATTTTCTTTTTCTTCTTAGTGAAATCAAACCAAGGTAATCTTGCTTAAAATAATTGTTCCTGTCATTTTTATTAACCTTTATCATAATTGTCTCTACTTCTTATATTTCTCATAATTCGCTAAACTCAGTTAATTAAACTATTTATTTTTGATGATAAACTAAAAGCTGACATTTGAAAATAACAATGAGGATGGTTGGGGTAAATATAATTTGGCCAATTATTATTTATTTAAAAACCTATATTTTTAATCACTAAATAATGAAATAGTAAAAAACACTATTATAAAGTAAACATTAAATTTTTTTTATATAAAAGTTTTATAAATCAATAAGTTCTATTTTATCTCCTATTTAATAATAATAATACAGGTAATTATGATTTTTTCTTTATTACATTAATTTTTCATAATATGAGATTGTAATAATTAATTGTAATTCTCATTCTTTCCCCCCTACCACAATTATTCTAATTTTCCTACTTATTTTTTTAAATATCATTCTGATTTTGGGTAGTTCGCGATTTGAGTCATCGTTTCTTTTATTTCTTAAGTGGAATTAGAATTCTACGATAATCACCATCACTCCAATTATCTTAAAAGTTCTAGATTATTCTAAACTCTTAGTAATCCTTTACATCCTTTAAATTCTGGCTTATTTTGTTTTTTTTTGAAGGGTTTTAATAACTTTTACCTCCTTCTAAAGTAATGGTTTGTTTAAATATCTTAAAATTTTATATGTATTAAATAATATAATTAATTATTTTAGATAACCAAGGTATGGACAATTAATAAATATTACAAAAAGGAGGAAGATTCTAACAAGAGTCTTAGTTTAGTAATTAATTACAATCGAAGAAATATAGAAAAAAATAACGAGTCAAATTTTAGTTTTATATAAGATATACATTTAATCTATAATGATATGTGGGAATAAATTGAATCAATAAAATATCCAAGAATCAATGCCAAGTGTTGCATAATGAATCAATATTAGATTAAATTTAAATCTATAAAAAATTTGTATATCTCTTTCTAATCTGCATATAGTATCAATGTCTGAAAAAAAACTAATTTTATTCCTCTTAAATTAAATGATCAGTTGATTTGCTCTAAGGGAAGAGTTAGACTTCTTTTTTAATTGTTTCATTTAAGGAATAAAGGAGAGTGAGATTGGGTAATAATTAAAATTAAAAATGTATAAAAATAAGTTAGAAATTGTATTATAAGAATTTAAATAGATTTTTTTCAATAGTTATTGATAAATAAGGTTTCAATAAATTAACTTGGCTAACCTCCAAAGAAAAGCAGATATTTGAAAATGTAGAAAGCTTAGTAGATTTTGAAGATAAGAGAATTGGAAGCTAAAACAAAAAATTTCTTTTGAATCAATCTACAAGAAATATCATCCTGAAAAGTAAATTATTAAATAGATTATGAAGAATTAAAAAAAAAGATTTCCTAAAAATTAGAATTATTATATACATTATTTCTATAAGTAAATATATTGTTTGCGATCTGATTATTAATTTATATGTTTATCATGTGGATTATAATCAGCTTCCTGATGAAATAATAAGAACCTTTTTTGTTTAATAATTCCATATTACCATAATGGCTATATGGTCAAAAATAAATAGTTCACATTTTTCATTATTTTGAAAATACTCAAGATATTTAAAGAAGTAAATATTGGCTTTTACATTTTAAAAATTACAATACCTTCAAATCATCATTAAAATTTTTACACAGCGCCCAATTCCAGATGATTTTTAGTTAAGAAATCTTAAGATTAGGGAAGTAAATCATTAAACAGTATTAATGAAATCTCTTCAAAAAAGCCATCTCACATAAATTGATAATTCATAAGTACTAGCAAAGAACTAAAATTAATTCTTAAACTTGCCATTAATTATTATTATACTTTGTTTCTGTAAATTTTAATAAAAAACTTTGAATCAAAAAGAAAATCATCAACAAAAAACCAAGATAACCCAAATGCTAGCAAATGTAAGCAGCAATTTTAATTAATATGAGTCAAATGCATGAATAGAAAAATATATACATAAATTTATATCGCATAATACTTATATCTGAATATGGTCGTAATATAATTAGATACTAAACTAAAGATTTTAATTTTCAAATTAATATTTTAAAAAACAAAACAAAGTAGTAAGGTTAATTAAAATTTCATAAGCTGTCCCAAATTTTTAGAAAGCATATATCTAATGTATTAAATTCAATAATTTGATAAATAATATATTTTTCGAAAAAAATTTATTTACGGTTTTTGATTTTTAATAAAAAATATTTTTTGTAATAGGAAACTATTGCTTTTGCAAATTAATCTTTTCATCTATAAGTAAATGGAAGTGCAAGCTAGGAAGAAATAACAAGAATAATGAGATCAATAGATGTTCCAGACACTGGTATACTTTATGATTTATTATAGGTCTGATAAAGATGTATAAGGATGGGCTGATAATATAAAAGAAGTTTCATATGTATTCAGTCAAGAAATAGTTTAAGTATTTCTAAAAAAGCATGAATTGGATTTGCTATTTAGAGCACATTAAGTAAAATTAAATATTATTTAAAGGTAAAAGAAGATGGATGTGAATTTTAAGTAAACGATAATTAGTAACATTATTTTCAGTTCCTAATAATAATAATAATAATATTAATGTATATTAAATTTAATTTATTTGAATCATTGTCTTTAATCTAAATGACTAGAAATTTCTAAATGCATAATTTTAATTAAGATTAGGATAATCTATCTTATATTACATAAAAGTTTAGATAATTTTTAAATAATATTAAATTGATTATTATTATTTCTTTTATTCTAAACCATAAATTTAGGATAATTAATAAATAATAATATTAATCTTTACCCAATTCTAAACTTTATGAAATTTTTAATTTTCTAAATTGTTTATTTGATATTATTGTAAGGATAAGAGAAATAATATAAACCACCTGGATTAATAATGGTTTATCATGGATTCTGAAGCTGGATATATATTTTCATGGTTTTTGAATAATAGGTATGCTTAGATATTTTCTCCTAAAATTAGAGATTTACTTAGTCAAATCAAATATAAGTAATTCTGCTTTTTTTGCTATCTCATCCATAAAAAGATATTTCGATCACTAAATTTAATATATCAAATATCAAAGAAAAATTCTTGAGATTTCAAAAATTTAATGTAGAAATAGTAGCACAAGTAATTTTTAATTCATCTACCTCAAATTATTGGCTTAACGTCATAAGATGGACAATAGACTAATATGCATTATGGAGGAGCTAAAGGTGGATTTGGAATTAACCCAAGGAAATTTTCCAAGAGAGAAACAGAAACATGAATGAGAAGATATACTCTTGGGTTGTCAAAAAGAATTTTATAGGGGCTGCAATAGATGTACCCAGGCCTGATTTAGGAGTATGACTTTCAATTAAAATTAATAAAGACTGGTGAATAAAAAATGAGTTGGATGAAAGATGCCTACACAAAGTTCAAGGGTCACTAAGATCTTTCTTCTGTCGGCTGTGTCACTGGAAAGGCAATAACTTAAGGCGGAATTTCTGGTCGATAAGAATCAACAGGAATGGGAGTAAGTTCATTAAAATTTCTATAAGATTTTCTTCGCAACAAGAGAAATTTTAAATAATACCAAGTTTTGTCAATTTGTAGGTAATGAACCAAGTTTAAAATGAAAATCCATTTTTTTTAGGTTATGGAAATGTAATAACAAATTTTAATGAAAATAGGTAGGCTCATTGGAATCGCCGAATATGAGATCTATTTTCAATCCTAATGGAATTAACCCTTATGAATTGGCAGCTCATAAAACAAAGACTGAGGGTGTTAAGGGATTTGCTAATGCTGAATAATATTGGGAGGACGAGTCAGCTATTTATAAATAATGTGATATATTTATACCAGCAGCTTTTGAAAAAACAGTCAATGAAAGCAATGCAAAAAAATTTAATTGTAAAATTATTGCTGAATGTGCTAATGGTCCATGGCAGCTGAAGAAAAACTTCTTGCCAAAGAATTATCTTTTTACCAGATATTTTCTTAATGCTAGTGGTGTAACAGTAAGTTATTTAGAATGGCTAAAAAATTTGAAACATATTAATCCAGGAAGAATGACAAGAAGATGGGAAGAATAAGCAAAACACAGAATTTATGAAGTCATTAAAAATAAGAACTGAACTCAATATAAATATTAAAGAAAGCAAGTTAGCCAAAAAAATGTTAGAAGGCCTTTCCGAAGCAATTTTTTATTATAAATTTTATTCAGACTGATTTAGTTCACACAGATTGAAGCCGTCAACAATATTATGGCTACTTCTTTATAATACAAAGTTAATTTAAGATTAGCTGTTTACATTAGTGCTATTAACAAGTTAAATGAACATTTTGAAATGGCTGGAGTTGAAGCATGATTGAGTTATTTAACGATATTATTCATTAAAATATTCTTTTTACTATTTATCATAAGATGATGATCCAGCTAAAGAATTGCTAACTTCTAAACCATTAAAATGTATTAGCTTGAACTCAAAAGCATTTATGAGGAAGTTAAGAAGATGTTAATGTAAGTAATTTTCTTTAATTAGTCTAAAAGAATCAACAATATGATTTTACATAAATTCACTTAATAATAGTATGAATAATTATTTCATTCATTTTTGAATCATTTAGTTGTTTTTTATTCTTAAAGTAATTATTTTTTCATCTCTTAGAAATCATACACAAATAAAAGAATATAAAATAATAAATTATCTCAATCAAAGTATAATTTTTCCCCAAAATCTGAAAACACTTTAAGAGTAGCAAAGTTATAATTAATGGGAAATTAAACTTAATAATAAATCTAGTTCTATTATCTCTTTTTTATTGCTTTTTTTAATAAAAAAACCTAAAATAAAAAGTAATAGAAATTCAGAAATTTTTTTAAAAAGATTATGATATTCAAGATTTTTGCCAATGTTTTGGAGGTGGATGAAGAATTATTCACCTACATAATAAAAATTTTTAGAAAAGAAAAGATATTTGATACTATTAAATATCTTTCGATAGAAATGAATCAAAGATATCTTCAA